TTCTAGCTTTATGCAATCTGTCACCTTCATTTGTTTCTTGAATCCATACAATGTTGGAGATCGAGTGCGTATCAATACAGAAATGATGACAGTCAAGAAAATCACGACATATTTCACTGAATTCAACGACGCCCACGGTACGCCTCCTGTTCCGTACCTGTTCCGTAGAATTGGATCGCGATTCCCAAGACATTGTGCTTTCTTGCAATTGATACGATCTTCTTTTTATTTAGGCAAGCCCACAACTTATAGCCACACTTATTTGTACGGGGTGAAAATAATTAACGAAAGTCGATCAAAATCCGCATCCTTGGAGCTGGTTGTTTATATCGCTGACTCGACTTCTCCTGCAAAGTATCAGGCGAGTCCCAAAAGTATCCATTGTATATACCTCGATCTTTTTTCAGAAGCTGAAGGAGAACATAAAGCAATTCTGTCAAAGGCGCCAGGAGTATGTAAAGGACAGTTGCTGGTTTATTCTGAATGAGATTGCACTCGGTCATTATCTCAAGGTAAATCACCTCTTTCGTTATTTTCTCCTCTACTCATCTATCCAATAGTTTTACCGTTTGGTTGAGCACGGTTGATGGCTGGCACCATTACAAGGTAATGCAGTGCATCACTCTGATGCGTGCACTTCGATTCGAGTTGTCAGATTTTTGTTGTCTTTCAGAGTGTTTGGACATCTAGGGGACTTCTTTGGCAATACATTCTCCATCAATGCGAAACTCTTGGCATCGAATACAAGCTTCCCATTCATAGACTAGAATTAAACTCCACTTCTGCACCAAATTACTCTTCTACTCCAAATTGCCAATCTTCTACTCCCATTTTCTCCTTCACTCCCAGCATGAAGCACGCAACGTTGTGTTCATCTTCCGCTCTTGGTTCATTAGCTTCTGGTTTTTGTTTGTATATGAAAGAATAATACTCAGCATTTGTTCATCTCCTTTCAAATTTTTTCCCGCATGTTTTTTACTTTTTTTCGTCTATGCCATTAGACGTTTCTTTTTTTTAGCCGAACAAGATCTTTGTCGTTCTATTGAGGATGTTTTTCTCAAATTTGAGAAATCTATAAAAATTGGGTAAGGCCGAAAAAATCAAGGGCTTTTGCGTCTATTCTTTCCTTTTAGCTTTTTGAAGCGTTTCAAATAAAACTGTCAAATACGAGAGCTCCTCTTGATCAAGTGCAACCGTGATATTACTAGCATCATGTAAGGCCGTCGTGTCATCCAATTCTGCCCCGGAACTGTTTGTCGAAGCAAGAAAACCGGTCTCATCTTTCGTTTCCGATTCATTGCCGGTCTCTGCATGTGACGTGTCACATAGAGGGTATCCGATGAACAACCGTTTCAAGAAGTTTCTCAAATTATCCATAAAACCCTCGCAGGGTCTCAAGCCATAGGGAGCTTGTATGGTGTTCCTTGTTTCTGTTGTTGCTTTGACGCTTTCTTCATTCAATCCATCTTGAAATTCCTCGATGGTATTGTTGTGTGCATCAACTGCTTCGAGATCTTCATCCCAGACTGAGAGAAATTCAAAAGGACCGACTGTTATTTTTGCTAAAGCAGAAGTCAAAAGTAAAAGAAAAATACAAAGCGATGGCAACATTGTGTCAAGTGACTTCAAATGGACGCAACAGTTTCTTAATAGAAAAGGTTTTAAGTAAATCTGAAGAAATGCATGCGCCAAATATTCTTGCAATAACATACCTCTGACCCGAGAATTACTGGGCTAGGACGCGAACGAAGTAGATGCTGCCGCGTCTATTGCTGGGTTACTCTGAAGTGTACTCTAGCAACGCCGAGTTGTTCAGCCTTGAGAATTCCCCGTAGCCCAGTTTGGAGCTCGTCGACTCTCAAATTTCGCCCAAAGGAAAGTGTGACATCTTGCATTCTGATCGTCCTTGGACCCTGAACAACTGCTCTGAACGAAAAACGGACCCAAATAGCACACGCTAACCATCAGGAAGAACACACGACCAAAACTCTCTCCCTTGTGTTTTTCCGGCTTTTTTAACCTTTCGCTTGACGCAAGGAAGCCTGAATAACTGCTCAGGGAACACCAAACCATCGCGAGGGCTTACTTGTGACCAGCACATAGCGGTGCATCGGAAGCCGTTTCAATGTATGATCTTTGTTCTCTCTCGCTCAAAAACTGAACTTTTTCGAGGAGATCTGCTTCGGTCAAAGATCCCCGTATGAAGGGTCTCGATCGAAGGCTCGCAGGCTGGTCCCCTCCATCACTTTGTGCGCTACTTGAATTGTCTAGCTTCATGGCATCTTTAGGAAAGTTGTGGGAGAACGTGAGTAAAGGGGGGCGTCTTTTCGACATCTCTGACGAATCCATGAGGCTCAGGGTCTTGATCGTTTTCAACGCTCTCTCTTGTTCCTGTATTCCCTCCGCTGCTTGCTTGTTGTACAGTTTGATGAGATTTCATACTAACGATTCCAGAAGTGCCAACTGGAACAAGAATGACGGTAGAATCCAATATTTGGTGTCGCGTGACTGATGGGAGAGCCACAATCTCATCAATATCTGATGCGCGATCATCGAGATGGATCAACATCGCCCCGCTTCTTGCACCAACCTTCGTTAATTCCTTGCAAAAATGTTCCACTCTCTTCAAACACGTTTCAGTTGAATTTTCGATGAGGGGTATTAAACAATCGTATGGCATGGTCTTCGCCTTATTGATCAAGTCAGACACTTGTGCGTATCCAAGCGCAACTGCATTGCGATCATGAGCTCTTTTAGAGGGTGCAACAGGTGTTCCCTTCTCTCTTGATTGTTGAACCAGACTCAACAGAAAGCAGTTTCGATGACTCAAAATCCTCTCGATCGCTTCATCTCCAGGCGCCCGAACAACCAAAGTACATGTTTCAGAAATCCAACTGAAATAGACAACACACTGGCTGACTGCCTCTTCAACGGTTGGATCTGTCTTATTAGCAGTTTCATCAACATTGATGTAAATTCTAATGCCTGTCGGCTTTTCAGTTTGGAGAAGGTTTCGAATATCCCGAGTGGATTGAATCGAACTGCTTCGTCTCAATGATTCTGCTGCGTAGACAACAACAAGATCGCACGATTTTTTCTCAGCGTTTTCTCTTGAGGAGAAAAAGAGCTCGTGGCTCATCCTTCGACTGCTTTCTTCAATCGGCACGCTCGCTTGGGTCTTTTGGGTCTCTTGGGTTTCTTGGGACTCTTTCGGTCCCATTTCTTCACCACTGCGGGGAAGCGCTTTAAGACTTTCTGCTTTCGAAATGTCAGTCGGAGTGTTTGGAAACGATTTCTGAAGAGGAAGCGATTCGTCAGAAGAACTATCGATGTGAATGGGATGGGATGAACTTGGAAAAAAAGGAGGTGATCGCGACGGGAAGCGGGAGTTAGGTTTAGCGCTTCGAATCAATTGCCCCGATTTTGGAAGTAACAATTGCTGCTGTCCTTTTCCTTTGGCTGGAGGCTGCTTCCGCTTCGAGGCTTCTTTTGCTTTGGGGACAAATTTTGCTGTCTCAAACAGGGTGCCCTGTCGGCGGGAGCCTCCAGGTAAATGCTGTGCGCAAAGAACAGGCGGTTGATGGGAGGGAGGATGAAAAGAGGTCCTGGAATTTGAGAAGCGAGCAGCAACGGGGCAATGGTCAGATCCCTAAATAGGAAAGAGGTGATAAAAAGAACAGAGTCAAGAGCACAAGAAACGAATTTATCGAGCAAACACGAATGAGGGTTGAAGCCAATAACGAACCTACCGAAATCTTTTCCATGAGCCAGCTTTCTTGCAGGGTTGATTTACTGACGTCGCTGTTTGTTGGGAGCAACTCCTCAGATACGATGATCAGGTCGACACGACTGCCATAGTTAGTCATACGGGCTCCTGTTGCCTATGAATCACATCCATGAGCGACGATTTTTTTTCTAAATAACTTACCTGTGACCAACAGCTGAAAGAGTTAGTAGCATGAGGATGAAGATGACGAAAAGAGTCCACCATGCGACAGCGAGAAAAAAAGGAGTCTGCATTCACAATTTGTGAAAAAGAGAAGGATTCCAAGCTAATAAGTCCACAACACCAGGAACAAGCCCGTCCTCCTTAGAAAAGGCAAGTTGGTTGTCACACTTCTATGCAGGCTTGACAGAACAACACTAATAGCTCTCCATCAACTTACTCTGTTTGCCGGATGAATGGCCGTTCTAAACGTGACCTTCTCCATCCCGCAATATCTGACGAATCCTCGGCAAATGGCTTCACATTCATGTCGCCCAAAAGAACAACAGGAATCATCTTCGAAGAATGGACCACATGAGGCGGGTGAGTAGGCTCGTATTGGAGGGTTGGCAAGCTGGACGGAGTAGAATAAAGTCGAAGTTCCCGAATGCAAAGATGAATTAACCTTCAGAACAAATAGCGGATAGGGAGAACAGCGTTACGAGGGACAATGGGGAATGACTGCTCACTTGTGAAAATCTGACTTGAAGAGAAGGCGAGAGGGATCGAGTTCGTCGGAAGCAAAAACTGAATCATTCGCAACACGTAAAGCTGGACAGTACACGTTAACTACGATAACATGTCCGTGATGTGTGATAAGCCAGCGTCCTTCTTGATCCAACTGCGCACGAAATTGGCGATGGACGAGCATGGCACACATTATCAGGCGCTAGCTAAATCATTACATCAATCTAAACAATGGTGACTCACTTTGATTGCGGACGATTTCAGTTCTCGCAGTTGCTCGATAAGTGGAGCAGAAACCTCTCCAACGTCGTCATCTCTTCTACTGGCTGAAGATGAAGACTTTCCACTGGCTTCTAAAGTCGTTTGCTTTTCTCTGATTTGTCGATCGCGTTTCACGGAACGGATTCCAGAGTCGGTTGAAAGGATTTCCTCGATTTCCGATTTTTCTGCATGTGTCATGCGGACATCTTCATCGACTCGCCGGCGTTTTGCTGGTCGCGCTGATTCGTCGTGAGCGCCTTGTTCGGCCCTTTCGCAAATGCGATCCATGACCCAAGAGACGCCATCTCGGGCGTCGAGAGGACGGGCATCGGGACACTTGCAGAAAGTCGCAACCCCTGAATACCCACCGAAGACTCTCTTTGTCGCACCGGAAATCCCAGAAGACAAAGAATAGTATGATTCCCACCCTGCCGGCCTGAAAACCACCAGTCCAATCTAAATGGTTGTCATAGGCTTACTTGCAGTAATCGTAATCCAATTCCTGGGGACTCATTTTTATCTCTTGTAGACAAACAACCTTTGCGTTTTGGTCGAAGCGTTGAATGAAGGCCGGAAGTGTTTTCGAATCAAAGCCACTCCTGTAAGCAAAACAGTCAATTCTACTAAGACCCATATCCACATCCTAGCTCAGGAATTTTAACCCAATACCTCCGCAAGGCTCCTTTTAAACCATTCACATTGAAGCTAATTATAGACCATTGATCCATGACTAGGAACGTATACTGAAAACCAGCCTCCTAGCTGAATATTGGCTGTGCAGGATTTGATGAAACTTCAAGCACTTTGATTCAATTTATCTAGGACTTTTCTACTCTCCAACATGTTCTGGCGACCAATCTAGGGCATCAGACACGTTCCTACTGTCGTGGTGATACGTAACGAAGCGTGGCGTAAGGGATGCAAGGAGAGGAAAGAGGGAGCAGAACCCAACGAAGTTAATAAACAACACACAGGCAAAAAGCACGTCGATAGAACCAAGACTAAATGGGTACTGGCCTCTGACGACATTCACACATCACTACAAGAGACCAGGAGAAACACAAACATTGCATGCCAACAATCACCTCAAACATTCAGCAATCGAATTAAACGTTTCACAACCATTGCCTTCGTTTTTCATCCGAAGATTTATGGCCATGAAAGTTCCTCTTTTATTCGTGGTTCTTTTCTGCATGACTTCCAGCATCAACTGCGGATACGTCCTGCTGACTGTTGAACCACCATTCAAGCAAGAAACGAGTACAACACTCGAATTTTCTGTGAGTCTGCGTTTATCTCATGAACATCGTCAACAAGGGCATGGAGAACTTCAATGGCGTAGAAACAATTACTGAGTGGTACAGTTTCTCTACAAACTTCGGTCGTGGTGATAAAGTCCTTCAAGGGGAGTACGAGGTAGTGAAGGGACATTCTCACCGCTTTATTCCCGACACTTTTGGAGGTGTTTATCGAACTTCATTCATCAAAGGTCGGAGGAACACTACCTTCACGCTTACTATTAAAGACCATATGAACGTGGGAATCAATTATTTTGGTGAGTTCAGCATTTTTGAAGTGTGACAAATTCCTTGATTACTCAGGTCTCTGGTTGTTGGGAATCGACACAGACCAGAATTTTTTGACTTTCAAAGGATCACGATTGAAAGATTTCAGATTCTTTTGTAGCGAACCTTCGCCGTTTTTTCAAAAATCCCGATTATTATGGTACGATCCTCATTCACATCATCACACCGCAACTGCTACGTCAGGGAATCCCAACTTCGAACCGAGAATAAGAGAGAATCACAAATTCGTATTTGTCAGTTGCCTTCCCTTTCGTTGCAATCAGTCCACCATTTCAGGTCAATTTTTATTGATTGCACCTTTAATGAAGTAGTTTTCGAATCATCAGAAGACACCCTCATGTAAGATCGGAGTGGAAGTGTTATGGATGCTTTGTTTCAGGTTTTCCTCTGATCAACACACCGTTGGGAGGTATCAATCCCTACAACGACTTCAACTACTACAACGACTTCAAGCACTATAGCGACTTCAACTACTACAACGACTTCAACTACTACAACGACTTCAACTACTACAACGACTTCAAGCACTATAGCGACTTCAACTACTACACGACTTCAACTACTACACGACTTCAACTACTACACGACTTCAACTACTACAACGACTTCAACTACTACAGCGACTTCAAGCACTATAGCGACTTCAACTACTACACGACTTCAACTACTACAACGACTTCAAGCACTATAGCGACTTCAACTACTACACGACTTCAACTACTACAACGACTTCAATCCCTACAACGACTTCAACTACTACAACGACTTCAAGCACTATAGCGACTTCAACTACTACACGACTTCAACTACTACAACGACTTCAACTACTACACGACTTCAACTACTACACGACTTCAACTACTACAACGACTTCAACTACTACAACGACTTCAATCCCTACAACGACTTCAACTACTACAGCGACTTCAACTACTCCAGCGACTTCAAGCACTCCAGCGACTTCAAGCACTCCAACGACTTCAATCCCTACAACGACTTCAACTACTACAACGAGTTGGTCCTGTTCCTTCTTCTTCTTCTTCTTCGTCTGACGCCGATCCATTTCCTGATTCTTCGTCAAGTAGCAGGTTAGCAACCATCACGGGAAGTGTAGCCAACTGATTGTTTGATTCTGTTAATGCCAGCATCTGCTTTAGCTTCTTCCTTAGTAATCTTGCTTTGAAAGTCTTTACTTCGTCGAGGTCCGTTTGGTTCTTTTTGCTTTGGTCCATCGGGAGAGCAACACCAGTGATGCCCTCATCGTCCACCATGATTTGATTTCTGGTCCTCTTCGTGAGATTTCCAAAAATTGGTAACAATGACCGTCCGCCAGCGCCAGACCAGGAGATTAGAGCGAAAACTCCCACAATAGCCATTATCGTTACCGTCAGATCGAAGGCACCTCTAGTTGATGGTAGGTAGTTGATTGTACTATCCCATCCCGCTAGAACTTCAGTCCTTAAGCTTCGAAATAAGACTTTCAACACTTTAACTGCGGCTAACATGATGAACGAAATGATGGTCCCTTTGAGAGCCCACAACTTCATCTTCGCAAAAAGGTCCTTCCAATAAAGACACGTCGAACAGATTCCAGCAATCAATAGATAAATGAAGAACTGAACTACCTCACTACTGACAACTTTCTCACACGTTCGCATCCATGCTTGAAATGTCGTTAGGAATGTTTGGTTCTCGATCATCTTTGTTGTTTGGTCCTTTTCTTCATCATCTGGGGTCGTTGGTCTTTATTCATCCTCGGTATTGATGACTTTCTTCTCCATGGAAATTTTGGTTTGATATTCTTCTGTTTTTGACGAATTTTCAACTATGATTGTATCTTTGGGGTCCTCAATTGCTTCAACCTTTGTTTTTAACTCGTTGATATCTACTTGATTTTCTTGGAAATTCTTCAACTTCCCTAGTATTTCCGTCAACTGAGTTAGCACGTCAAGGTCCTTTATTATGTTGTTGATTCTTCTTGCAGCGTCGGTTTCTTCCTTCACATCATTTTCAATGAGTTTTCCCCTCTGCGGCAATGATTTTTCCTGTGCCGGAAAAATCCTACTTTGGTCCGACGCTTTGATTGATTCACAAAATGGGTTATTTTCCACAGCCCGCACATACACTCCATCTATAATTAGTGAACTCGAGAGGATCACGGCCCACAACAAAAACTTCATTATAATGGGTGTGGGAATTACTTCTTTTGAAATGTTGATTTTATCAATCAAGAAAAACAAGATTGTTGTTACTTCAAAAACGGACGAGGGAAAAAGCTTCGTAATTGAAAAATGTAAATATATAAAAGAACTCTTATTCTTCTATTCTTCTTTCAAAGAAACAGATGCCTCTCTCTTCTGGTCCACACCAACACCCTAGAGATATAAAGAATTCTAAGTAAATAGTTTATGTAGATTATCTACCTAATAAAGGGATGAGGCGGTCCTTTGGTTAAGACCAATTAAGATGGTAATAGCGAGAGGGCAGTAGACGATGAACAACTGTTCTGTGAACTTAGCGTAACGTCGGGAGCTTTGGGTCCATGCGTTTCTTCTGTTTGAGAGAGACTTCCGGCTCATCTGATTCTTTTAAGGCGACGGAAGAGGATAAGGTCCTTATAGAAAATTCGCGAGCCGCTTCAATATACATCTCCCATTCGGCATCCGCATCGTATCTGGCTCCATGATGCGTCAGGAACACCCCCGCGGTCCAACTTCTTTATCAAATTGATCCATGAGCTCTTGGTCCCACATCCTTAACCATGCCGTCCGATGAAGAAGGTTCTTCGGGATCGAGGATTCTGTCGGTCCAACTTTCATCGATGACTGAGGAAGTTGCTTTCGGGTCCGAATGGGGAATGGGAACAATAAAATCTGGGGAGGAAAAGTCGAAACGCACAACAGGGTTGCCTGTGTTATTTGTCACTTTCATGGTCATACTGGAAGGAGAAAGAGTGGTAGTATTCTGGTTTTGATCCCTTTTGACTTCGTTATGATTTTCCGTGTTGTTGGATCTTTAATAACACGTTTCCCAATCTTGCCTTCAAGGACCTTCTTTTGGATTTTTCTAGCCTCTCAGGCATGTGGGTAGTTATTCCTATCTTTTCATAAGGAAGCTTTCTTTTCAGATGTAGATGGTAACATTTTCTTGAAGAACATACCGTTTACTTGCGATGAAGGTGTTTCGAGCAAGTTCTGGAGAAAAGTTGGCAAAGTTATTGATCTTTGAAGTTGGTGATCGAATTTCTTCCCCGTTTCTTGATAGAATCCCGGCGGCGCCTTCTTAAAACTCGTCTTTTTCGTCTGAAGAACTGGATGCTGTCATTTCTGAGTGCTTTTCTTAAGTTCTTGTATTTTTCTGAAGTGACTTGGTCCATGTTCTTGGTGTTACGAAACAAGTTCAAGCAAAAATTGTGGACGGAATATTTTCACCCTGTCCTGGTCCCCAAATCAAGACGTTCCACCCAAGCAAATCCTAAAACGATCCAACGATACTCTCGCCCTCGCCACTGACTTCTCACCTCAGCTCTCAACGGCATTACAACTCGTCTCCTCCCGCCAGATGCACCTTCAACACATGTTACAACAGACTCAATCGACTACCCCCACTTACATCATCGACCTCCACCAGCTCCTTTGGCATTACCGGGACATCTTGGCTCCCCCAAAACTGGAGTCCCGGCAAATGCAACGTCATCACCCACCACATCATTCTTAACGACCCACGCCCAATCGTCGTCCGGCCAAAACACTACTCAGAAGAACAACGGGACATCATCATCGCCGAAACCGAGGTCATGCTCCGTGACAAAGTCATCGTGAAAATATTCCGTCACAATTTTTGCTTGAACTTGTTTCGTAACACAAAGAACATGGACCAAGTCACTTCAGAAAAATACAAGAACTTAAGAAAATCACTCAGTTCTTCAGACGAAAAGACGAGTTTTAAGAACCGCCGCCGGGATTTCTGTCAAGAAACGGGGGAAAAAATTCGATCACCAACTTCAATGATCAATAACTTTGCCAACTTTCTCCAGAACTTGCTCGAAACGCCTTCATCCGCAAGTAAACGCTTCCTTATGAACAAGATAGGAATAACTACCACAAGCCTGAGAAAAGGGTGGCGAAAGAGGCTAGAAAAATCCAAAAGAAGGCTCTTTGAAAGCAAGATTGGGAAACGTGTTATTAAAGATCCAACAACACGGAAAAATCATAACGTAAGGACATCCCACTAGATCCATTTGGACCGCGCATCCTGGAGCTAAATACGATGCGGATGCTGACTGGGGAGATGTATATTGAAGCGGCTCGCGAATTCTCTATAAGGACCTTATCCTCTTCCACTGCCTTAAAAGAACCAGATGAGCCGGAAGTCTCTCAAACAGAAGAAACGCATGGACCCAAAGCTCACGACGTTACGCTAAGTTCACAGAACAGTTCATCTACTACTTCCCTCTAGCAATTACAACCTTGATTGGTGTCTCAACCAAGGACCGCCCTCATCCTTTTCATAGGTAGATAATCTACATAAATTATTTACTTAGAATTCTTTATATCTCTAGGGTATTGGTGTGGACCAGAAGAGAGAGGCATCTGTTTTCTTTGAAAGAAGAGTGGAAGAATAAGAGTTCTTTTATATATTTACATTTATCAATTACGAAGCCTTTGTCTTTTTGTCGAAGTAACAACAATCTTGTTTTTCTTGATTGATAAAATCAACATTTCAAAAGAAGTAAATTCCTACACCCATTATGATGAAGTATTTGCTGTGGACCGTGATCCTCTCTAGTTCACTAATTATAGATGGAGTGTATGGTGCGGGCTGTGGAAAATAACCCATTCTGTGAATCAATCAAAGCCTCGGACCAAAGTAGGATTTTTCCGGCGGAGGAAAAATCAGTGCCGCAGAGGGGGAAAACTCATCGAAAACGAAGTGAAGAAAGAAACCGACGCTGCAAGAAGAATCAACAACATAATAAAGGACCTTGACGTGCTAACTCAGTTGGCTGAAATACTAGGAGAATTGAAGAAAATCAGGCAGATATCAACAAGTTAACAACAAAGGTTGAAGCAAATTAAGGACCCCAAAGATTACAATCGTGGTTGAAAATTCGTCAAAACCAGAAGAATATCAAACCAAAATTTCCACGGAGAAGAAAGTCATCGATACCGAGGATGAACAAGGACCAACGACCCCAGAGGATGAAGAAAAGGACCAAACAACAAAGATGATCAAGGACCAAACATTCCTAACGACATTTCAAGCATGGATGCGAACGTGTGAGAAAGTTGTCAGTAGTGAGGTAGTTCAGTTCTTCATTTATCTATTGATTGCTGGAATCTGTTCGACGTGTCTTTATTGGAAGGACCTTTTTGCGAAGATAAAGTTATGGGCTCTCAAATGGACCATCATCTCGTTCATCATTTTAGCAGCAGCCAAAGTGTTGAAATTCTTATTTCGAAGTTTAAGGACTGAAGTT